TCAGGTATAACAAAGTTTTATCCTGTAATTGTTCTGTGGTTGAATTTCCTTCTTTTCATCTTTGGCCAGATATAATGAGGGACTTTTATGTTATTTTCTACTTTGTCTTTAAGTGTATTATATTTTCAACGAAAAAAAAAGATTATTGTTAGGTCTACTGCTTATTAATGAATCATTGGATTAGAAAATAACTTATTATATCATCAGGCAGAGATATGTTCCTTTATTTGCATGTAGATAGTGATGATGAATAATTTATCAAATGTTATTAGTACAGGCTGCATATTACTGAAGTCTCAGCAGGATATAATGAAATTTGTCTCCTGCTAGTATGAAAAAAGCATGCCTTTGCATAGTCATTATTGAACTTTTGGCATATCTCAGAGAACTATTATGTTATTATGCCAGTCTTGCTCACCTCTTCATTAACTGGACTTTGGACTGAAGAGTTCAATTTATCTTGAAAATCTGTGAAATCTGGTATGCCAAATGGTTGCTTGACTCTAGCTACCTTTTTTTAATCAGAGCAAGAATTTTTAGAATGAATGAAGTATGTAATGTTTCTTATTAAAGTGATTAGTGCAAAAAGGCTATGACTGATGGTTTTATTACTTCTGGTCATTAAAAGCTGTCTGTATAGGAGATATTTAAGCAATATATCTTTCTGAAATGAGGAGGTGATGAAACATGTATAGAATTGCTTAGAATTTTACATCTGTACCAATTAAGTATTTGAAATTATTTTAAATAATTGCTTTTTAAAAGGTGGCTTTGATTTGCTTGTGCCATGATTGTGTGAGGAGGTCAAGAAATCTAAGCAGCAATGAGGCTAGACAGTCAAAAACAAGCCATTTCAGCACTCTGGACATCAACTAAAAGCATTCCTTACATTCAGAAGTATTTATTCACCAAAACAACTGAACTTGGATTAAAAAATGTGAGTCTGTGTTGTTTGTGCCTTGTGCACTCTCATTTTCCTTCTTCAGCTCTGAGGGCAAGTTTGTTCAACCAGGGTGGGCAGGCTAAGCTTTACCAGTACTCCTAAGATGGCTCAGTTGATTTGGAAAACTGTCAGTTAAAGTAGAGATTTTGATGGCAAATGACAAGGAGAGTCTCAGTTCTATCCCTCTGAAGTTGTGGACCTGTTTGGCACACAGTGTACAGGTGCATGAGCCAGGGATTTAACAAGGACATCTGGGAGGTGAAACAGAGATAGAAGGTTTGATAAATCTCCAGACTGTACGTTGACTGGAGGTGGTGCACATGCATAGCAGAGACTAGATTAGGCCCAGTCCAGCCACACTTAGCTGCCTGCTGGAGCATGCATGCACATCCAGAGGAGGTGGCAGAGGACCCAGGAAAGTCTAGGAGAAAGTACAAGTTGGGGCAGTCTTGAAAATGGCCCTAACTTTGAATGCCTTCACCTGCTCATACAGATTCATCAACAGATAGGAGAAATCTTATTGGCTCAAGGTGTTTGAACATATGTGTGATGAGTCTTGCTTAACAAAAAGCTTGCAGATACAGACTTAACCCCTGGGAAGTCATGCACGGGGGAGGAGGGAAACCAAAACAAAACTAAAAAGGCACATCATCCACCATTCATATTGTAGAGAGACAGACTTCACAGATCTATTCCAGGGAATCTGCTAAACAAAAACAACTTTTGGGTCGGGGGAATCCGAATTGAGAGTTGCCACAATATATTGTCTAAAATGTCTATTATTCAACAAATATTATGATATATGCAAAGGAACCAAGTATAACCATATTCAGGAAATAATGCAGTCAGTACAAATTGTGTTTGGCCAAACATGTTGGATTTAGCAAAGACTCCCAAGTACTAAGTGAAACCATGTTAAATCACTTAAGGAGCAGATGGTGACAGTGACTTGAATACAGAATCACAAAAAGATAGACCAATAGAGTTCTAGAGTTGAAAAGTACAGTAACTGAAATTAAATGATCATTCAAGGAGCTCAATTGCAGATTTGAGATGACAGAAGAGAAAATCAGTAAATTTGAGAATAGACCAATAGAAATTAACCAACCTCAAAGAAGAAAAACGAACAAGGCTCAAAGACCTGTGGACAACATCTAGCTAACCAAGTATATCAAGGGAGTCACGGAAAGAGAAGACACAGAAAAAGTGCTAAGAAAAAAAAAAAATACTAGATGAAAACTTCTCAAACTTGGTGAAAAACATTATGGATCAAAAAGCTACATGAATTGCACAGGAAAGATCCACACCTAGATGCATTATACTCAAACCATTGAAAGACAGAGAAAATCTGGAAACATAAAAAAGTGACACATTATGTACAGGGGAACAACAATAAGAATTATTGATTTCTCGTTAGAAGCAATAGCAGTCAAAGGCAGTGGACTGATACATTCAATGCTCAAAGAGAAAAACTGTCAACTAATAATTCTATATTCAACAAAGGTATCTTTCACGAATGAAGCAAAATAAAAACATTCCTGAACAAAAATAATTTGTTGCTATAATATTTTATTTACAAGAAATACTAATGTTCTTTAGGCAGAAAGGATATGGTACCAAATGATAACTTCAGTTCTCAGGAGGAAATTAAAAGTGGTAGAAATGGTAATTATGTCGGTGAATATAATATACTATATAAGTTTATATTTTTCACATTTTCTTTTCTTTAAAAGCATACAGGTAAAATTTATAAAACTTTTTGGGTTTATACAACTGTATATTAATATGTGTGACAACAGCAGCACAAAGGAAGAGGAGGGAAAAGAAATTCATATTGTAGAGAGACAGACTTCACAGATCTAGTCCAGGCACTTGGACAATTGAATATCCATATGCAAAAAAATGAACTTAGACCTCTGTTATACACAAGTAACAAAGTAGACCCTAGACCTAAATATAAGAGCCCAAGAATAAAACTTCTAGAAGAAAATGTAGGAGAAATATTTATGTCCTACGGCTAAGTATACAGCAAAAGTATGAGCTATAAAAGACAAAATTGATTAATTGAACTTCATTAAGTTGAAAACAAATACTTTTCAAAAGATACTATCGTGAATATGAAACTGTAAGCCAAAGACTGATTATTTTCACATCATGTTATCTAACAAAGTTCTTGCAAGCAGGATATATAAAGAATTTTTACAACTCGATAAGACAGATACTGTCTTATACGCAAAATATTGGCAAAATACTGGAGTAGACATTTTTATTAGGCTTTTCCAGAGAAACAATTTGTGTGCGTGTGTGTGTATAAAGAGATGTATTATGAGGAATTGGCTCACACGATTATGGAGGCTGCAAATTCCAAAGATCTGCAGTCAGCAAGCTGATGACCCATGCGGCTGATGTCTAGTTTCAGTTCAAGTTCAAAGGCCTGAGAATTAGGAGAGCTGATGGTGGAAGCTCCAGTTTGCTACTGGGCAGGCATGCTACCCAAGAAGAGCTAATTTTTCAGTCTGAGTCTGAAGGCTAGAAGAGACCATTGACCCAGGTAGGATGAGTTTCTACTACTTATTAATTAAGTAGGCTTTTTTTTTTTCCTATTCAGGGCTTCGATTCATTGGATAAGGCCCACCAGAGTTAGGGAGAGCAATTTGCTTTATTCAGTTTACTGATTCAAATGTCAGTCTCATCCTGAAACATCATGTAGATGCACCGCAAATAATATTTGGTTAAATGTCTGGGCACCCGATAGCCTAGTCAAGTTGACATACAACATTAACTATCTCAGCATTTTACCAAACAGGGCATACAGTTGGCTCATAATCACGTTAAAAAGGTGCTCGACATCTTTAATCATTATAGAAATGCACATTCTTTCAAACCACAATAATATACCATGACACACCCACTAGAATAGCTCTTGTCAAAAAGTTATAGTATGAGGTCTTAGCAACAATGTGGAGAAACTCAAACCCTCATACATTGCTGGTAGGATATAAAATGGTATCACCACTTTGGAAAATAGTTGTTTCTTATAAAGTTAAATAAATTTACCATATGACCTAGCATTTTTATTCATAGGAATCCAAGAGAAATGAAAACATATGTCCCTATAAAGACTCGTATGCACATATTCATACAAGGAGTATTATAATAAGTATTAGAAACAATTTAAATGTCATCATAGAATGTGGCATATTTTGTATGGAGACAGGGATGGACTATATAAAGAAGCTTGAGGGAATTTTGGGGGTGATAGAAAGGTTATAAAGCTAGGGTTTTGTGTTGATTGCATAACTCTAAGTTTATAAAATTATTGAATTGTATGTTCACAATGGGTGGATTGTATAGGATGTACGTTAGTAAAGTTAGAAAAAAATAATGTATATAATGAACAAATGAGAAAGTAAACAAAAAATAATAATTGGGGAATCTGAAGGGGATGGAGATTTTTTGTACTATTCCATCTTTTCCACAGCTCTGCAATTATTCACATTTCAAAATTCTAAAATTTTAATGGCTCTTAGAAGTGGTCTAATTTTTTTGTAATGTTTTTGTAAAAATAAGTTTAAAAACTTTTGTTCGTTTTTAAAAATCCAGTCCTAAAATGTCATTTTATCTCAGCTTGTCTATTCTTTACTTCTTTGATTTGTTGTTTGCTTTGAACAGATAATCTGCTTTTGCATTTTCCCCCCATGTAGTGCAAAATTGGCCAGCAGGCCCAGTGCCTAAGTGAACCCTTCCTGCTTTCAGATACATGTCTCATCTATGCTAGGGATGATATTCTGAGGATATATGTTTCTCTCATGGTATTTTGAGGATATATGTTTCTCTTATCTGTGCAGTAAAATGTGCCAATATTATGGACACGAACACAGCGTTTTTCTCTTTGGCAGTATTTTTCTTAGGTTCAGTGATCACATCTTTTCTAGTTTTTTTTTTCCTCCATAAAATAAAAAGTTAAATGCAAACATTAACACATTTGTTGAGAGCAGTAAATTAAAGTGAAGTTGTGTGACTCGTGCTAATGTATATTTATATGCTTTATTTGAAGGTCATTCTGTGAGACTGCTGGGTCAGAAAAAGGATAATGGAAAACGGTTGGGGGGAGCACGACTGGATTTGCCAAAGATTAGGAAGAATCCACTGATAGAAATCATTTCCATCAATACCGGGTAAGCTTCTTTCATACTTATAAAACGTTCACTATACTTCATGAATGTAGGTTTTCTTTTTTTTTTTCTGGACATGTGACATAGAAATGTAGTTTAATATTTTCATGGGGAAGAAAAATCAAAAAGCTCTAAAGCATATGATTATAGTTTCTTCTAAAATGTTTCTGTATACAAATTAATATTAATATTATTCTGACTTCTTTTTGGTAATAAACATGGATTTCATTTTCCAGCTATGCCCTTGGTTAAAAAACTTTTAAAAAGAGTATTTTATTTTTTAGAATGGTTAATGTACCCATCATTTTGTACTATGTTTTCAATAGGGTTATAGTAAATATTGCTCAAGGTATTAATCATGTTTTGATTAACTATCTGAAATACATATTTTAAAATGTTACTCTTATGAGCTTTAAACTGGAAATAAGCATTGTAACTGAATATTGAGTACTCTTAATTTCCGAGTCTTAGAGTCTGAAATTCTTTTGCCTGATTCCAACTCTTGGTATATTCATTTATACTTAGTTTTATTTACATTTATTGAATTTGGTTCCTTTAAATTATGCCTCTACCTGGAAAAGTTACACATTTCCCACTCTAATCTATATTATTGTAGTCTGAAAGTTTGATGAAGCAAAAGCCTTCTATTCCTTAAACTGCAGGACTCCGTCCATTTATATAGCTACCTAACATTTCCCACAAATTTAAGCTGTCTTGCTCAATTTTGATTTCATCTTCATTCTCTCTTTAAAAAAATTTTTCTCTTTTTGTGCTTTGCTTTCTTCATGCTATTTCCTGTTGAGAGCAGGTGAACTTATCTCTCCTTCTCCAACATCTTTCTACCTGTCTCTAAGCTGGTGCTTTTAGTTCCTCCTGCACTATTGCAGCTATGTTATTGCGAGTTATCTTTTCTCTAGTCTTACTACCTTCTGGTTAATCCTTCACACTGCTGACAAAGACTAGGGAAGACAGGTCTTTTGATTTTTCTCTAAAAGCCCCGTGGGATGAGTTTCAGTTGACTTGTAGTATTCATCCTGAATCATTGTCTGGCCTTCAGAGTTGAAGGTTCAGAAACCTGGACCTATCAAGCTCAGATACTAGTGATTAAATTGGTACATAACAGATGTGTAATTACATTGACTGGAGTATCTAATAATAGCCTTTCTCTCTTGAGCCTGAGCCTAAAAATTGTAAGCATTAAGCAGTTTGCTAATCCCTCTGTCTCATTGTTTTCCTTCCTCAGGTAAGCATTTTTTTTTTAATTCATGATTTCCTACATAAAATTGCAGCATCCCTACATTTCCCTCTCTTCCATATTTGCCTTATTTTCCTCTGTAACACTTCTCCCATTGCTATACACGCACACACACACACACACGTATGTATATGTGTGTGTATTCATTTATATTTTCATTATCTGTCTTTCCTTACTGGCATACCATAAGCCCCACAATGGCAGGGAATTTCGACTCTTGTTTATCATTGTATCCTTAGTATATATAAGAATGTACACAGTAGGGACTTAATAAATATTTACTTACTGAATGAACCATCAAGTGGTGTTATTTGAAAGTTTTGTGAAATTATGCTAAATTTACTTCCCAATACTGATTACCTTACCATTGGGACAGTAATACTTGGGAGTTTGGCTAAACATACTTTGTCCTGAATAGTGCCTTTAGATGGGCAAAATCAAAATGTTTCTGAGAATCTCTCTCTCCCTTTTTTTTTAATATATGCAGAATTGATCAACTTTTTTTGGGTAGACACATTTCTTTAAGTATGTTAATATTTTAGAATCTGTCAAATGCTATTATATAAGGATCCATTTGGTCTCTTCAAAGGGGGACTCTGCAGCTACTTTTGACCCATTGAGTTTTTATTTTAACTGTTTGTTTTCAAAGATGCTTTATTTTTCTAGTCTTTGTGTACTTCTCCATTTTGTCACTCCACACATACACCTCACACTCCAGTAGTCAGTTATACTGAAGTACTTTTAATTCTCAAACTCAAGGTTCTTTCTTCTCTGTCTTCACTCCAGGCCTCTGTGCGTGGTATGAGGTTTCTCTGCTAGTTTTCTCCTTTTCCCATTCCTCTTGTTGGCAATCCTCCTGTGTATGGTGACATGCCCTTTTTTGGGTGGCTGCATGCTCCTCCCTCAATCGCTGGGCTAAGTCCCTTCTTCCATTGTGCATCTACAATATTTCCTATTTATCTTGATTATGGCACTTCTCAGACTGAATAATTTTATTTTCCAAAAATTGTAAACTTCTTGGGTTCTGAAAGTATTTCAATTATCTTTTCTGTGAAGAGCCTAATTGCCCCAGGATGAGAAATTATACTTAATTCAGTCTTCAAGGAATAGGAGACCCACTGAAGTCTTGAACAGAGTGAGAAGTATTTGTAGCTAGACATTAGAAAGGTTATTCCAGGATCAGTTTGTAATGTGGATTGGCGTTGGAAGATAGATAGATGAAAGAGGACCACTTAGGAAGCCATTAGCATCCCAGCCAGGAAAGGAGAGTGGTTGTGGAAATGAAAAGCAAGGATGGCAGCAAGTTCTTGGAATGGTTTTAGAACATGGACTTCGGCCTACTCTGGTGGAGTTATTTGTTACCATGGATTTGGAAGTTCCAAAGAATAGTTGGAGACAGAAATATAAGATGAAAAAGAAACTTTAGTTGAAGGGGTGAGAGTGAATGAGGTCACTGAAGGTGAGTGGTCAGTACCTTTGTATAGGAAATAGGTGGAGAAAGAGGAATCATCTGTGACATAGAAGTCAGAGATGAAGGTTTTATGATGATGGAGTGTCATACTATCAGTTGCTTCAGACTCGATAAGGAGAAATAATCCTGGAATAGGTGAGCCATTTCGGTAGTGGGAAAATTAGAAACCAGGTTAGAAATTAGTTTTGCTATGGTAAGATTATTCTCTTGAGGAGTTCGACTATAAAGTAAGAGAGATAGTCTTTAGAGAATAGAAATACATGTATTTTTAATCCGAGCTTGTTTAGAATGCAGAAGGGTAAGTATTAGAAATATATTGATGGGAGAAACTGAACAGGATCATAAATACAGATGGAAAGGTAAGCCCTGGAAAGGAAGGGTGCTTTTGTGCTTCCTTACCTATAGCACTCAAGGAAGTCTAAGTGTAGAACTTACCAGTTCATTGTTCTTAAAGTTCTTGACCAATTTAATGTGATTCGATTCCTTCATACTATCAGGCAAAATAGAGGGCGGTGTTTCACTGTTAGGTCCCTTTATGTTTTAGTTAACATACCACAATCCTTTTTATTTCAGTTCATTTTTATTTTTATTATTTTTTAAATTTATTTTTTAATTAAGTTTATTGGGGTAACACTGGTTAATACAATTATATAATTTTCAGGAGTGCATTACCATTTGACATCTATATATTCTATCGTGTGTTTATCACCCAAAGTCCAGTTTCCTTCAGCTACCATATATTTGATCCCCTTTACCCACTTCACCCTCCCCCTAAACCTTATATTTGCCCTGCTTTACCTTGTCTGTCACTAGCCTATAGTCCATGTCCATGAGTCTCTGTTTGTTAACATACCACAATCTTTTGATGACACTGATGCGCTAGGGCCAATTCTTGACTGGAATACCCCCCACCCCACAGGATTTGTCAGTGTTCTTTTCCTTTCCCTTCCTCCTTCTGGTGGTGATGTTCAGTTGTTATTCTACCCTGTGTATTTTCTACAAACTGGAAGCTATATCTCATGTTAGAGTCTAATTAAAAATTTGGCCAGAAATAATAATTTCAGAGCTAAAGATACAAAATTTGAAGATTCATCTCAGTGTTTCATTCTTATTAAATTAGTAGTGGAGTGAGCTCTTAGTTCTGAAGCACAGCAGAGTAGGATATGTGTGCATATTTATGTAAAAAAGTATCAACCTTCATTTATATGTGGAATCTAACAAATAAACAAACAAAACAGAAACAGACTTACCAATGCAGGGAAGAAGCTTATGGTTGCCAGATGGAAGGGAGTTGGGGGGCTGGGTGAAAAAGGTGAAAGGATTAATAAGTATGAATTGGCAGTTACAAAATAGGCATGGGGTTGTGAAGTACAGCATAGGAAATATAGTCTATAATATTGTAATAACTATGTATGTTGCCAGGTGGGCACTAGATTTATTGGGGGGATCACTTCACAAATTATATCAATGTCTAAGCACTATGCTATTCACCTGAAGCTAATAAAAAATAATGTTGAACATCAACTGTAATTGAAGAAATTTAAAAAAAAGAGAGAAGAAAAGTAGCAACCAAGCGCTATGGTCAAGATAACAGGAAGTCAGTCAGCATGCGCATAAACAAAAGCAGTGAGCTGATTGTCTTATTTTTGTGATTGTCTTATTTTTTTCTAGCACTGAGAATGGAGTATAGGGGACAAAAAGTAAAAAAAATAGAAATTGGATCATAAAGAAAATCTGTACTTTATGTTGCCTTCTTTGTCACTATTAAAGTCATCATTTTTGACACCATCTTGGCAGTTTTTGTTCTCCCAAAGCCAAAAGTTGAGTGCTGCTTAGTAGTTCTGATATGTTATATCATTTTAAAGATACTATTAGATTGTCTCTAGTTTGAAAGGATAATCCTCCCCTGGGCTAAACACGTTTTTGAAAATACTGTGTGACCCTGTAGTACTTTACTGATATTTTTTCTTTTAAAATTTATCTTGTCTTTCTTGTTATTTGCTATCTGTCAGACATAAAATGGTGGAATATGGGAACCTTTAAGGGGATCTAATTTTCTTTGAAACATATACTTGAATTTATTATCATTTTAAAAAGTGTCTGTTACTTTTCCCCCTGTAATATCTTAGCTCTTAGAAAACAAACTAACTTGGATGTTTTACCATCTTTCTCTAATGTACAGAATTTATCAGTCCCTATTCCAGTGCTAGATACATAGAGTGCTCTTTAAATATTTGAATGAATGAGTGAAAGAACAAGGATGCAAATTTATTTCAT